AGTATAATAAGCATGTCAACAAAGGTTTGGCTATGTTGCCTCCTGACCATATGGGTCCCAAACCAAACCCCCCTCATCCACATCATCAACACTTTAATCATCACTATCAAGGTGGCAATTTCCATAATCATCAGTCCTGGTGTCCTGACCTCACTAGTCAATAAAGAGTCATCTGCCAGTTGTGTGACAAAGTTGGACACTCCGTGAAAGCCTGTCGGTCTCGACCCAAACTCCCTACTTTATCATGGTGGCATCAAGCGAATCTTATGACTACTCCGACTACTCACCAACCTAATTGGATTGTGAACTCTAGCGCCTCTCATCACATCATCTCTGATATTCAGAACTTGTCCATCCACAAAATGATGGAAATGAAGATATTATCATCGGTGACGGTAAAAGAATTCCCAATACTTTACGATGCTATGAACCCAAACTCAAAAAGTCTTTATATCACGTCACGTTATTTTTGTCTTTACATCACTAGAGTATCCCTCCGATCTCATCACATGAATCTCCCATGACACCATCCAATCCTTACCCTCAGGATCCGCACACCACTATTACTCCAGTTCAACAGCTCCTCCCTCCCTCAAATTTTTTCTGAAGAAATACCCTCGACAACACCACCACTGGCTTTACCTTCTCTTAGACATAGTGACATTGAAGTGTCGCGGGCTGGCTCGGCCCATGTCAGTGACTCACCACTGGATATACCAACAACACAACCTACCACTTTCATAGCCCCTAGACATCTAATGACAACACGCTTCAGAAGTAGTATTTTCAAACCATATCAAGTCCTTAACCTATATGCTATAACAAACTCCTCCCCTGAGGTCAATGAACCTACTACAATTACTTAAGCTCAAAAATCTCCTTACTGGTGTAAAGCTATGTGTCAAGAATATGATGCTCTCCTCTATAACTCTACATGGACTCTAGTACCCTTTCATCACATGCAAAATGTCACCAGGTGTAAATGGGTCTTTCAAATTAAGTAGAACCTAGATGGATCCGTTGCTAGACATAAAGCATGTCTAATCGCCAAAGGGTTTCATCAACAACCTGATGTCAATTTCACAAAGACATTCAGTCTCGTTGTTAAACCCACAATAATCTGACTTATCCTAAGTTTGGTCATCTCAAAAAGCTGGCAGCTACGACAACTGGATGTTAACAATGTCTTTTTACAGGGGTCTCTGACTAAAGATGTCTTTATGCAGTAACCTCCTGGCTTCGTTTATCCTCGGTATCCGAGGCATGTTAGTAAACTATAAAAAGCTATTTATGGACTTCATCAAGCTCCAAGAGCTTGGTATACTGAACTTAGCTCATTTTTAACATGAATTGGCTTCATCAATTCCAAGTTTGATACTTCATTATTCCTAGGACAACAAAATGGAGGCACAATATATCTTCTGGTGTATGTGGATAATATTATTGTCATGGGCAATGATCCCTTGAAGACTTAGGCATTCCTAAAGCAATTGGCAGATCGATTCTCCCTTAAAGATCTAGGAACCTTGAGCTACTTTCTATGAGTAGAAGCAATATTTATATCTTTAGGTCTCTTCCTATCACAAAGAAAGTATATTCAAGATTTATTATCAAAGACAAACATGCGGGATGCAAAAGAGGTTACAACTCCCCCCTCTACTAGTGAATCATTCAAGTTATGTGATGGAAGCCCTACTACGGATTCTACTTAATACCGACAAGTACTTGGCTCCTTACAGTACTTGGCTCTCACCCGTCCAGACATCTCATTTGCAGTCAATAAATTATCATAATTCATGCATCGACAATCTACTACACATTGTTATCCGATTAAACAAATTTTGTGGTATCTTAAAGAGACCCTCAATCATAGCCTTTTTCTCCGTAAAAACACTCCACTCCATCCCCATGCCGTTGTTGATGCTGATTGGGTAGGGAACTTTGATGATAGAACATCCACGTTAGGGTATATTGTCTTCATTGGAGCTACTTCAATCAGTTGGAGTTCTAAAAAATAAAATACAATCGCACGGTCTACAATTGAAGTTGAATACCGTGTCATCGCCACCGCCGTTGCTGAACTCAATTGGGTCACAAATCTGCTCAAGGAACTCAACATTAACTTTATCGTTACTCCTACAATATATTGTGATAATGTTGGAGCTACCTGCTTATGTGTCAATCAAGTATTCTACTTTCACATGAAACACATTGCCATCGACTTTTACTTCATGCAATATCAAGTTGTCAGATATCAACTATGTGTTTCTCACATGCATACGACTATCAACTAGTAGACTCACTCACAAAGTCTCTCGCCTGTAAACTATTTTCATTACATCGGTCCAAGATCGACATCCTTGATAGAAGCTCAATCTTGTGAGGGCATAATAGCATATAAGATTTTATCAACTACATGAGGAAATCTCTGAGCAGTTCAGAAAAATCCTCTCTGCTAATATGTATAAATAGCCATCAAGTTCACTATCTCAAGCATTCTTTGTAATTACATTCCATATTCTATCATTGCCTACATCTGTCTTAGCCATGCCAAAGTTGTAGAGGCATAGAGGAGCGAGGCAAAGGCACTGGGGCTCATGGTGTCTGAGATCCACCATCCTATTCTGTAATCTCTGTAACTTAGCTTACAAGGTGTAATTGCAGACACATATATGTATATGACGATGTGTGGTGGTTATTGCTTGGGTTTCAGGGAGAGGAGGGTATGGCTGGGAGCGTATGAGACGACGGAGGAGGCAACGCGGCTCATGTGTGGGTCGAAAGTGTTGGGTCGAGCCCATATGTGGGCTTAGACAAATTGGGTCGTTTGAGTCCAAATCAAAGAAATTAAAGAGAGAAAGAGAGAAAGGGCAAAATTTGTGACGACAACGTGCGTGCAGCGTGTGGCGGCGTGCAGAGAAAAGAGCAGAGAGAAAGTAAGGTTTCTGAGTTTTTTGCTTGACGATCGGTGGCCAAACGTTGTCAGTTTTGGCCCAAATTTTATGTGAAGAATCCTTGCAGCAAACTCTACAATCCTAACGGTGTTGATCTACAGTTTACCCTCTCTAAGGTACTTTCCTGCTATATCCACTCTGTGAGACCTAGAATTCTCTTATGAGGAAATCCATCCTATACGAAGATATGCTATTCTTGAGCCAAGATCTATGATCTTGATGTTATTGTGATCCTTTAGTTATTCTAGAGAAGACCTACTGTAAACCTATTATCATTATTATTGATAGTGGAAGTTTGAGGTGGACTACGGTCCCGTGGTTTTTCCCACGTTGGGTTTTCCACGTTAAAAGATTTGGTCTCATTGTGCGATTGATTTTTTGCTCTATTGTTTATGCTGTGCTAGTTGATATTTTCATTTGGATATCAAGTTGGTATTTTGATAAGAAACCCATTTTGATACACAAAGAGGGAAAATAATATTCCACTTTAACAGGTTTTTTCCCAACAGAAAGCACGGATCGACTTCCCCCACGACCCGAGTTGATCCAGTTCAACGACACCGGCCTTGTCGCCAACCCTTTTGGCGAAACTAGAGAAGTGCTACTTGGAGTCGCTGAGGGAGAGCCGGCCAGCGTCGGCGCCAATCAAGTGCATGGATGATGACGACGAGGATAAGCGCATCGAAGAGATGATTGAGGAGCTTAGATACGATGGTTCCTTGTTGATATATCCTCTTCTTCTTCTTCTTCTTCTTCTTACCAGTGATGTGATGTGATCTTCCATAGCAAAATTCTGCTGCACTTGGGAGAACTATTGTCAATAAATTAAGATAGTAAGTACATTCTTAGTTACTTCAACTAATATATCAAGTTGAATTCTTTTTGTTGTTTACGTGATCCGTGGGTAATGTGCTTGATTCCTCTACATAAATCTTGGTCTTACGTTATATATGGATATCAAACAGGCATTTGTCTCAGATATGAGATTCCTTTGCCATCACGAAATGTCTCATTGTGACTCAAAAAGTAGTTGGTATAATTGACTAATTTTATCACATTATATTTGATCCAAAGCGATCTAAATAGGTTAGTTTTAAGTCATCAACTTGATGCCATTAAGTTGATCCTATCTGATCCGTGTTTCAAAGACTATTCCATTTGGGATCCAAGTAAGCATGGTTCATCTTGCTATCGGACCAAAGTCAATAGAATGACGTGGATTGGGATGAGCTCTTCCGAATTGATGATAATCCTATTACTCGAGCTCGATTACAATAATCCTTGCAAGATTTGTATTAGAGTTTGACTAACGAGACTCCTTGATGCTCCAAGTTCATGTTTATCCATCCAAGTGGATAACTAGAGAAGGATTTGGAGCGTACGAGCTCTCCAAACCTAAAGAAACCCTAACTATCCTAGGTCATAAGAGATTGAGCATATTAACAACCTTAGTTAACAAGCTATCATTTTCTAATCCATAAATAAAATTCTGAGGAATAAACTGAGATTGATGATTAAAGTTATAGGATACGCTTAAACAACTGTCTACATCAACTCAAGTCAAGGCTATGAAGGACCATAATAGCAGCTGTTATAATGAACATCCCGCTACATATAAGACCTGTTATTTGATCTCCATCTCACAATTACATTTAGGTAACAGATTTCAAACATGTCATAGCAACAAATGATAAGATATAATAATTGCTATTGATAGGACATTAGTTGACAATGAGTTACGATTCGATCCGATACAATTAAACTATTGAATCTGAACCACTAATTAAATTACTTAAGGCTAAATTAAATTAAAAAAAAACCTCTTAAAAGTTTAATATTCACATCAAGGATCAACAAAATCCAAAATTATGCTCTATGTGAGGTCTAATCCAATGGCCCAACATTATGGTGTGCCTCTAGCCCAACCTAGTTCAGTTAGGTAAGTAAAAGCTGTGTGATGCAGGCTTCAGTTAGGGTAAGCAAAAGCTGTGTGATGCAGGCTATCCTGAAACATCTACGGCATAGTCGACTTAAGTGCGAAAAAAATATGTGAAGCATATGATATGCAATTGATCAGTATATAAGAGAATATACTATTTGCAAATACAAAATAGCAATGCTGCAGTTCTTAATACTTAAAGGAAGATCATTCGATCCTGCATCCAACAAATTTCATAAAGGAGTAGTGGATACCAGGAGTGATGATGGTGGCTGTTGAAGTTGGCATGATTTCCATTCTCCCCTCGTTGACTCTTTGTGGCTTAACATGATGCATGTTGACCTTCTTTGGAAGAGTATAAAATTTTAAGCTCGGTCTACTGCATCAACGAAACTGATGTCTTTGATTCTTCCTCCATCTTCCTTGCGAGACGTGCTGTGCATGTACTGGATTAGGTTTTATATGCATTAAGAAAAATTCGAGATGTTTGTCTGCCGTACCTCTCTTTTAAATGCATATAGCTTCACCTGCGGCGTTCCGTCCTGAATTCGCGGAAGGAGGAGATCAGGTGGGCCGAGCGGGAACTGCACAGCACAGAGACGTGCTCAGCTTCGCAAGATGCCACACTAAGTCCTCCGCAGGCGGATTGATAGAGAGCGACCTATCTATTGAGTCTCTTTCTGTCGGTGGGTTTTGTCGTCAAGATGGCCAATCGAACTCCACCCAGGCGTGGTGGTCACCTGCCTCTTCCTCATTGCCGTTCGCAGCTCCGCCACACCATCCCACCTCTTCATCGATGCATACACGTTGGCCAGCCCGACGTACCTCCCGAAATGCGCGGGCTCCAGCTCGATCACCCGCCTCCCCGCCCGCTCCCCCCGCTTGAAATGGCCGTGCATCCGGCATCCGTTCAGCAGAGCTCCCCATATCACCCCGTCCGGCTCCATTGGCATGGACTCAATCAGCCCCTCGGCCTCTGCAGTGTGGCCGGCCCTGCTCAGCAAATCCACCATGCATCCGTAGTGCTCGATCGTGGGGCGTACGGCGTATGCCGAAACCATGCTCTCGAAATGAGCCCGCCCTTCGTCGACCAGGCCTCCGTGATTACAAGCGGCCAGGACTCCGATGAAGGTGATCGCGTTCGGCGCCACGCCTTGCTTTAGCATTTCCGAGAAGACGCTGATGGCGGGACGGCTGTGCCCGTTGAGAGCTAGTCCCATGATCATCGCACTCCAAGCTGTCACATCCTTGCGTGGCATCTTGTCGAAGACCTCTCTCGCGCCGTCGACGAAGCCACATTTTGCGTAGAAATCCACCAGTGCAGTCCCAAGCTCGAGCCCGTAGTGCGTCGATCCCTTTGCGTCTATGTGTGAATGGATCCATCTCCCCTCCTCCAAAGCGCCCAGACTCGCACAAGCGCTCAGAGCACTGACAAGAAGAGCGTCGTTGAGCTCTGCAGCCGAACATTCTCTCAACTCGTGGAACAACTCGATGGCCTCTTTGTGGCGTTCGTTCTGCACGTACCCCGTGATCATGGCACTCCAGGAAGCACCGTTTCTCTCGGGCATATGATCGAACAAGCTGCGGGCTTTATCCACCAAGCCATGACTGCAGTAACCGGTTACGAGACTAGTCCAACAAACTACGTTTCTGTGAGAACTTTCGTCGAATACCTTGGAAGCAAGTTGTACAGCTCCCAGATCGGAGTACCTTTTCACGAGAGAGCTGGTAACGAAGACATCGAGATCGAACCCGAACTTAAAAACCTGCCCGTGGACCTGGGAAAGCACGGGGACACCGGTGCACGACTTGATCGTGAACGGAAAAGTATGCATGTTGGGAAAGACGTCGTGGCGGCGCATGCCGACGTAGACGGCGAGACCACGGTGGGGTCGGGCGGTGTCGGAGAACCCGCGGATCATGGTGTTCCAGTTGAAGATGGTCGGCTGGGGGATTCGGGCGAACAGCTGGTGGGCAAGGGCCATGTCATGGAGGGCGTAGAGGGCGAGGACTCGGCTGGTGACGTAGGTGTAGGAGACGAGGCCGAGGGAGATCAAATGGGCGTGGATTTGGCGGGCTTGTTTGAGACCCGAGCGTCCTATCAAAGAGAGACGGAAACGAGGAGGAGGTGGCTTCATCGGAGAGATGGTTGCAGCGTAGGAATAATTCTGCTCATTAAAAACAACGCGTGATGGAATTTGGGATGGGATTGGATTTTTATTAAGAAATAAAAATTTAATAAAAATTCTTAAAATTTAAAACTTATAATCATATACAACCTTCAAACTTATTTCAAGTTTTTTAAATTTTTCATTTTTTTATATTTATACTGTATAAATATTTATTATTATATTTATTCTTTACTTTATATTTAATAAAATATTTTTCGAAATTTTTTATTTATATTTTAATAATATGAATTATTATATTAATGAATTATTTAATATAATTTATTTTATATCAATCTAAGTTTTAGATTAGCTAAACTGATTTAATTATATGAGTCGGTTTATTAAAAAGGTGGAGAGCGGAGATACAACTTTTAAATGAAAAAAATAAAAGGTTGTTAGAGATTATTTTATCATTTTGAAAAGTTGAGGATCTCTATGATGATTTTTGAAAATCAAATGCTCTATGATAATTTCTCAAAATTAGAAACTTTTTTGAATAATTTTGATCTCCTAATTAAACAAAAATTATATAGCATGGTGATTTTTAAAAAAACCTTTCTTTTTAGATTTTTTTTAAAAAAAAATGCTCTAGTTTTTTCATTTGTTGATTTTTATTATTAATAATATAAATGTCTTTCATTGTTTCTCTCCATTCATCATAATCGCCTAACTACTTTCGTCCCGCCTCGACATGGCCACCTCTGTTTTATCTTTTTTCTTTTTTACTCTCGTATTATTCACATGACTACCTCTCTCTTATCTTCTTTTATTTTTTTCTCTCTTCACATTATAAATTTTTTTTTTCGCTTACCTTCTTTTATCTTTATATTTGAGACGAAAGCGATGGGATCTCGTAAAAGGGTAGGAGACAATCATTGTTTTATCTTTTCGCTTGAATAAATAAAAATCGTATAGTTGAAGTCAAAGTCTTAACTTTTTATAATAACTAACTAATGGAATACATTAGGCATATAATTAAGAGAGGAATTACATTAGGACCATAATTAGGAGATATGAGGAAATGCCTAAAGAAGGTTAGAGATTAAGTGTTTTAAGTGATTATAAGTTTTTATATTTAATAAGAATTTTATGATTTCTTGATGCTCAACATCTTTTCATTAGAATTTTTCAACGTAACATCAAAGGGTTTGATCCGAACAAGTTTGATTTTGAAGGGAAAACAGATATATAGAGAAAATCTATAAAAGAAAGTGCGCATAACCTAAAATCCAAGAAGAAATCATAGAGAGAGAAAATCTAAGGAGAGATAATCCACCGAGAACCTATAGTGAGAGTACATATAGAGATTGAAAATGTAAGGTGAGACAAAAAAGTAAAGAGAGAAATTGAGAAGAGAGAATATATAGAGAGAGAAAATTAAGGATAGAGAAAATCATAAAGAGAGAACAATTACTCGTAGCATCAATGAGGAACAATATAACCATGACACTAATCAAATAAGAGGAGATATCGGAATCAAGAAAGCAATTGATAAATTAGACTAGGAGAAAAATTATCAAGAGAAAATTGAAGGTGCAAATAATTATTTTTATAATTTATTTTAAAATTTTTTATTATCTATATTTGGTGAAAGAGATTATTGGAGATGAAAAATTATGATAGTAACTTTTCTTGGATCGAAAGATTTAAAGGAAATCATCTTGCATGGTTGTAAAGAGTTCGATTTTTTAAAGAGAAAACAATGAAACTAGATGAAAGTATTATTTCATGAGTCACTAGAGAAGTTTGATTGATCATAAAAATACTTATGAAGGAGATACATATCTTCCTATACCATGTGAAAGTAAACTTATTAAAATTATATGATATAATTCTAGAAGAAAGTGAAAATTGAAGATATCAATATAGATCAAGCAAAAACAAGACTCAAATTACTATGTAGATAGTATTTATTTTTATTAGAAGCATAAACTAATTTTACTTCCCTATATAACTTTTTTTTATAGAGCAAGTAATTAAAGAATTTATAGTGTTATTGATGCTATCGTGAAATGATAAAGAAATCATATATCCATGCAAATGATTATGTTAATATGATTGATTTCACATTTGAAGATTGATTCAATAAATCTAACAAAATTACTTTTAAACAAATCAAAATTTTATAATTGATTTAAGGCAAACAAAATAGATGACTACTATCGATTGCGTAATAATATCATTAAAGAAAAAATTACATCAAGCTTCAAAATTTTCAAATTATATATTAAATAGAAAAAAGACATCAAATTGAAAGACTTAAAAGTGACATATTTATGTATATATATGTATATATATATATATATACACATATATACATAATTACCAAATTGTTGTAATTGGGATGTCCATTCTTCTTGCTTTTATGTAAGTTCCTGTTCTTGTTGTGTTCTTTCATGCACAGCAATGAGCAGATCACGTTATATCAACTACCATTCACTGCATTCTTTCACAGAAATAGAGAATGAAGTTTAAATCATCTGACATGCGTGTTTCCATTAGACTGATGAATCATGCCAGCAAAAGAAGAACCACTAAACTAAAACAAGTTCCACCCTGAACATGAGCAGAACAGACCCTACCTTCATTTGTGCAAGTATGTCAGTTCAAGTCAGCTCGCTGAGTCTCCCTACTTTGATCTCTCACTTCACATCATTCCATCCCAAAAATGGCCGTGTGGCAAGCTGCCACATCTGGTTTAGAAGTCTGATGATAGTAGGAAGGTGGTGGTGCAACCCAATCCCCCACATAGTTGTATCCCCCGTAACCATTACCACCAAAGGATCCAACGGTGGTGACACAAGGAGGGATGGAGTAGCACTGACTACTGCTCTGAGATTGTTCTTGCTGTCGTTCCGGTAGCTCACTTCCACTCTCTTGGCTCATGTCGTTGTTGGAATAAGCAGCGGCGAGGTCCATGGCTACACCAGAGGAGGAGAACAGGCCAAAGTCTAAAGCTTGGCCGTGTTGCTGGTGGTGGTGGTGGTGTTGGTGGAGAGTGAGCAGGGAGCAGAAGTCGTGATCCTGCTTCATGGGGATGTTGGCGATGAGACCGAGAGTGGCCCAAGGATCATGGTGTTCGATCTGATGCCTGACATCGACGCTCATGGTATCAGAAGAGGTGGATGCCGACGACTTCCCAGTGATGCCGCCAACAGGGAGATTACTGCTAACGATGCGCTCCACATCGTAGCGACTCATGTCGAAGTTGGTCACCGCATTGACTCCCCGGAACTTGATCGCTGCGATATCATACGCCTCCGCCGCTTCTTCCTGCGTACCTGAAAGCACCAAAATCCCAATCGATCTTCCATGCTTACTATGTGTATTCTTATGGCATTCTCGAACCACTTACTGAATGTTCCAAGGTAGAGGTCCTTGTTGCCTGCTACTCTTCCGATCCTTGCTTGCCACCGACCATGTTGATGGTGTCTGCAAACACACAGACAACCCTTATCGATGCTAAAGGATAATGGTCATATGTATCCCAAGTTGAACATGGAACAGACCTGGTGACTCCTCTGTAGATGGAGGCGCCCCTGGAGAACCCACTGCTCTTCCTACAAGAACAACAACCACAAGTCAACATCATCATCATCATCATCATGTGCACGCTGTCTATGCCACCATGCAAGCAGCCATGCGGCGGTTCTTCACCTTCTTAGGGAGGCGACGAACTCTTGGCGAGTCATGTTCTTCATCTCCTCCAGCTCCTTCTCATAGTTAGAGACCTACACGGATGTGCACCAGGCGTTCACGTACATCAGATAGATACGCGTATAACTACAGCATTCATCCGGTAGTGAACCTCGTTGTCTACTACATACAGGGAAGTTGGTGGTGGTGGTTGGACCCCAGTATTTGAGCGCTGCGAGATCGTACGCCCTCGCCGCCTTCTCCTCCTTATCATAACCACCTATGATATCATCAAAAGAAAAAGAAAAGAAATGCCTTACACTGTATTTATTGGTAGATTTCGTAAAAGTATGGAAGACAACAAAAAGGTTAGGCACCTAAATAGACTGCAGCGGGGAGCAGCATGACGGCAACGAGCACCAGCGAACGTAGCAAACATCGACAGCGAAATGGGAGCGCATGTTAGAAGATAGAAGGCTAAAATCTAAAGTGAACGTATGGTTGATGCTAGCTTCGCCGGCGTACCTTGTCGGCCTTTGCGGCTCTGCCCCTGCCGGCGGCAGCTGTTGTCCCACAGGTGCGCCTCGTACCTCCCCGTCCATCGGTGCCTGCCCAGAATATCCCTAGTAGCATCGATACATATGGAAAGAATGGGAACAGCCTTCGCTGGACTAAAGCCCCGCCTTAGTTGCAGTGCAACGTATGGACTTGGTTGTTACCTGGTGACGCCCCGGTAGATGGAAGTCCGCTGACCGAAGCTGTCCGCGGCCATCCGGGACTCTTCCAGCGGCGCCTTCTGCGCTGCCTTGGGCTTCTCCTGCTCCGCAGGGATGCCGCGCTGAAATCCGGCGGCTATGGTCTTCAAGTCGGAGTCGCAAACCCCCTTGGGCCCGGTGTCAACATCCCCGCCGGAGTACCGCCCCGGAGGCCCCCCTAGGAAGTCCTCCAGCTTGGGCCCCATCCCCGCCAGCGCCACCAGCTCCGTCGCTGCGTTGGTCTCCTCGTCCGTCCCCTCGATTCCACCTGAAAAGGTAGGTTGCCGATTACAGAGCTGCTACATCAATAAAAAATAAAGGAAAACACAGAGAGGGAGAGAGAGAGAGAGAGACCATGGTGGTGCGGGGCGTCGGAGAAGGCTTCAAGGAGGCACCGCTGCTGGGAGAGGGAGAAATCGAGCCAGTTGTCGGAAGCGTTCATGTTCATTGCCTGCGATCCAAGTCGGCCTACGGGAAGACCGAGAAAACCGAGCAGATGGTCGATTTGAAGAGAAGAGAAAGAAAAGCGAGAGACGGACACAGACGTGGAGAGGAGGAGAGAAGATGATGAGACTCAGAGAGATAGAGAGAGAGCACGAGTAACGAGGTATTTTAAATTCCTTATTATTGTTCTTACAATAAAATGTAAAGAAAGCAAAGATAAGATTTAGGCGGGCAAGTGGAAGCCCTTCAGAGGTCGTCTCAGCGGTCATCTTCACCGCTTTCTAAGCAAAGAGATTGCTTGACAATGAATACTGATACTATGAGGTCGGATCTTCATCTCCGAATCCGATAAGAATTTTAAAGAACTGTCCGATTCATATACACACAGCTAAGTGGGTTTCCGCAACACAGCCTCCGGATCCAAAAATTCTTTTGTTCTTCTCGTGTGTGTGCCTTCAATGCTACTAAAGTCACCGAGTGTTATCCTCTCATCAGAATCGTGCCTTTAATACTTCGTTAATTTATTTGAGTTCAAAACCGATTTGAATTCAAATGGATCGACTTCAATCCGACCCAGTTCGGATCAAATCAAATCCATGATATCCAAATCAAAATCGATCCCAACACCGTATTATCACCACCGATGACACGTGTACGGAGCGGAGAAAACAAGCGTGTCGCCGCCTCACCGTACCATGGCGTCGCTCCACCTGTCTCGTCTCGCCTCGCCTCGCTTTTGTCCGCACCCGAATCCCGTCACCTGCTCAGTCCCATCCCTTCGGTTCGCTCTCGACCGCACTCGCCCTTCCATGATTGCCGAGACTCGCACTCGCGAAGTCTAATCTGTCCGATGCGCATCGGACGGCTGATATATGTTTTCTACGATGATAAAAGTCTGGCCGTCGGATGTGAATCTCACCACCGTCGGTGAGAGGTTATCACTCGACAGTACAAGCGGGAACGTGGAAGGGTCAGCGACAGATGATGTCCGCCGGCCCATTCGACGGTCAAAGCGAGGATAAAAGAATCCCGCGGTCAGTAAAACGAATCATACCTTTCACGTTCGCTGCCTGCACCGCCTTTTCCTACGCGTTTTTCCGTTCCTCGATTGGTTACCCACCTTGTGGCTGGAGATATTAGTGTGGTTCCCACATGGTCAAGTTTTGGGCGACGCAATATACAAGCAGGTGGCATTAGTCCGACGTTGCTGCACGTGCGACGGGAGGCACGAGGGCCGCGTCGCGCGGGCAACACGTGAGCTGGCGTCCGGACTCGGCGCCCGGCCTCCCACGTGCGGCCGCGGAGAAGATCCAAGGATGAGAGCAGGAATCTGGTCAAAGGACGGGGTGGTGGAGTTCACGTGGGAGGTGGTAGAAAGGAAGTGAAAGTAAGCACGTTTAAGGGAGATGACAATGACGCATATAGGGTGATAGGGTGGACACATCACGGAGACACATACAATATATATAATGGAATGGTGAATCTTGTCGACAGAGCTTAGTGATGTGTTCATGGAAGCAAGTACGTGGTTAGGCAATGCAACTTTACTTACAGTGTGGGCTATAGCTTTTTAATGGACGCTGTTGTAGTGAGAGAGAGTTAGGGTAGGCATGTGCATGCATGACATATTGTTTGCACCCTTGAGTTTGGCTGGAGTTTATCTGCAGTGCACTGTGTTTGCTGATACCTGAAGTGTTGAGCATGAGGAGGAGCATAACATTGAAAAAAAAAGATAAAGAGAATCATAGTTATATAACAGCTTCTTTGAATAGTTTGTGATCATGCTTTCGTGTTTGCTTATCCTCCTCGGATGCAATGCTGCTACACTGTGGTTCAAACCAATTATTGGGAATGTTGCTAACACTCCTCATATTTATGTAATAGAATGACTCCAACACAATATCATCTTCATGTGATATTGTAATAGGGAGTGTATATATATATGAATTTTTCTCGTAAAACGTTTTTATTTTGAAAAATATCCAAACAGCACCCTTTCTTTTTTGAAAGACAATATTACCCTATAAAAATGATTGAGTTCAAATTAAATCAGAGAAATAATTGGTTTAACTTAAACCAGTTCTTTTACCATACACTATACATCCATATTTCATTGGAATCCCAATCAATGCAATATGCGTCGAAAAGGTTTAGAGTTATTATTGTCGCTAAGGTTTCTTCCATTTTCATTGCTATCGACACTGTAAGGTTTATTCTACAAACAATTTGGTATGTCTCCATTCCTACAAACAATTTTCTAGTCTATCACCCTAAAAATAATTTTTTAGAGTTCTATATCTACTAAACATTTGGATACTTATTACTCTTTTGTATTGATGTTTAGTGTTCTGAATATTATAAAGCTAGCTCGTAAGCTAGTTTTGTCATTTGCACAGATCAAATATTTTGAGCAATTTTTTGTTAAAAAAAAAAAATCTTTCTTATCCTATAGTTTCCTAAAGTTTAAGATGCCTTTTCTATTATATACATTAACATATGATATTAGTAGTGTGTATTGTGGTCAGATAGTATGGGCTGTGGACATCAGGTTTACCTAATATAAACTGATTAGATTAAGGGGTATGGTTAAAAACCACAAAACATGGACCTGTACTAATTCCTAATGAAATAGTTTTTCCAAGAATATTTATTTTGTGTTGTTAACTGCTATAAAATAGTGTCTATGAGTTACTTAAAAAAATAACTTGATCAATTGTAACTACTAACCTGGTGAAATACTACTCCAAATCATTTGAAACTCAAGTGAAAGCATTGCATTACACCCAGATGCACTTCTATCTTAATTTTTTAAATACTTTTCTAAATTTTTAAGCATCTTGAGAGTGTGTCATTTTCCTATTTTCTCTTTTTTTTATTTCTACTGAATTAAGAAGGATTCCTGCAATATTTTCTAACATTTGACCTTCTAAATATATGGACAAGCTATGATAAAACATGTTTAAACAATATAAGTTCCTTGTATAAATACTTTGTTTTTGGGGTTGGAAAAAAATAGTGTATCACATATAAGGATGGATTCAAATCATTTAAAACTTTCCTGAAAATTTTAAATTGGACCTACGTTGACATATGTTAGTATTTTTCTAATTTAAATTTTTTTATTTTTTTAGCATTTGAACAATGAGCCATTTTTCTATTTTCTCCTCTTTTTTTTCTATTTGCATTGAATTAAGATGAATCCATATAATATTTTTTTAAATTTGACCTTGTAAATTGGTGGACAACTTATAGTAAAAAAATTATGCAGCAAATATATGTCTTGGTATAGAATACTCCATTTTTAGTATCAAACTAAAAATAGTGTATCGCATATGTCTAAATCATATAAAATTTTCATGTAAACTTTAAATTGAACTCAAATGAAATTTGAAACTTTTTTTTTTCTAATTTAATTTTTTTTTGTTTTTTTCAGCATATGAACAATGTGCCATTTTCTATTTTCTATTTTTTAATTTGTACTGAATTAAAATGAAACCATGCAATATTTTCTATTTCCATGCTTTATCTTAAATTTTCATTATCTGAATAGTAATAATGTCATCAAGCACTTATTAATTTAGAGAATTTGTCATTGAAGTATCAACTCTAATCCATTTTGGTTTTAACTAGAAAAAAATCATATCATCAAGCACTTATTATATGTGTAGAAATTCCAAAGCTATCTACAAGAATGTTGACACAAGCATAAGTATATTTTTATTTACAATCTTTTATATTTAATTTTATTTAATTTATAATTATTAATTTATTAATTTTATCTTTGCGATTAGATCATTCGAATGATGAAAAGAGGTCAAAAAGCCCTTCTAAACAATTGTTATAGGACGAAGCTTTAGTACACTATTAAACGTAGTCTAGAAAAATTGGTCTCATTATTACCAAGGAAGCATTATTTAAATATTATAAAGAGTACTTTATTTGACCATTTCCTAGATATCTATGATATAATCATATCTCATCGATTAGCTTCAACAATTATATAATGATGGTCTGAAAATGATAAGTTTTTGATAAATAGAGTCAAACTATCGTTTTCTACGTCAAATGTATCTCTTCTTTTTAATCTATTGAATATTGAAGAAATTATTGATATAAAGGTATCTAGATCTTCTAGGTATCTTACAAGAAAGTATTTTTTATATGAAGGACCAAGTTGTAGCGATTTGGAAAGGTGGATGATAGTATTGCATCCATGTGAAAATGAGGAATCAGTGATGGATTTTTTGCTAAATTTATGTGCTATATATATTTGCATATATATATTATATTATCAAAGCAACTATAGATTGTTGTGGTAATTAACATCAATGATTGATAATCTCAAAATTTTAAATAAGTATAATCGGGTAATAATAGTTTAATCATTTATTTCTAAGAGGATTCTATTAGTAATAGAGAGAATATAAAGATTTAATTTAAACAAGTATCATTTTGTTAGCTATTTGAAAAGATGTATATTCGTATTGTGGGTAAGTTACGTAGATCTATATAGTTTGTATTGGAAAATCACAAAGAGCATCATATGTGTAGTGAAAAATAAAAATAAAAACTAGTTTTTTAAAAGCAGATTTATCAAATCATCGTGTGAAGGTCAGGAGTATAAAACTTGAAAACGATAAAAACCGTGTAACTGCATAAAGTGGTTGAGACCTTCTCACCTAAGGGAGATCTTATATCCCAAAAACTGTAGATCTTAGTCCGTGGATGAAGGAGCTCTTGTAAACTCCTCTCTAGTGGTACTTCACACAGCGGATGCGGCGATGACGCACCTCCTTGTGCAACGCGTTCTTTCCTTACGTTCATGCACCACTACACTATAGTAACCAAAGAGGGATTGATCTCTCTTGCTATCCACTCACACCAAAATGGGGGTAGTCAGTTAGAGGAAAAGGCAGAGAGGAGATGACGGAGATGGCAATAGTTGGGGTCTAGCTATGATCCCTTTTAATCCCAACTCTTATTTATAGAGTTGGAGCATTCTTTTTGGGGATTGGATTTCAATTCAATAACCCCTAGCTTAATGAATATTGGATCTGTTAGTCATAGGTGCCCTACAAGCTAATCAGGTGAGTGATGACACGTGTGATATGATATGCACTTTTTTTGCTTATTATTATTCTAACATTTTATCATTTTATATTGCTTGATGCATAAGTATATTGTGATGTCCATGGATCTGTGCAATG